AAACTTGCTTTCCATCCATAGCACCCACACAGTTAGGAAAATTGCATTTAGTAAAAGTTTTAGCAGTTTCTTTTAAATTTTCCTGGGTTAGTTTTGGAATTTCAAATTTTAACGCTTTTATAATTGCACTACAAACATCCATTAAAATTGTACCAAAGTGTTGCTTGCTGATTCTATATGCAGAAGCGACATGTTTTTGGAGTGTGCCTGAAGCTAAATATCTGGAATAAAAACAATACATCTTTTGCAATAATACTGACTTGCTTTCTAAAAATATTTAGAACCAATTTTACAATGCACACTTAAACTGATTATTAAATTCAGTTTTCGATATTCGACACCACAGTGCCACTAAAAAATTTAAATAAATTCAACTTTATAATCAAATCAAGACTTAAGTGTACACAGAAGATCAGCCATTAGAAACGAACTCTAAGACGACTGCAAGTTTTTCTTTGGAAGAAATTCCATCTCTGGGGTGAGTTCTTTTTTTGGGTTGTAAATGTGGTTCTATAAGCCGTAGAATATCTTCAAAACTTTTATATGGCATATGAAAGTACTTTACAAAGCGCTTCTCGCACTTCACTATATCTTCAAACTGAAACAATATAAAGTACAGATAAAAACTGAATAACATTTGTATCAAATCAAACTCACATCTGTTGCAAATCTTCCCTTGGCTCTTCTAGTTCTTAAGAAACGACCAACTCGACCACGACTTTCATGAGCACAAATTTTTGCAGCTTGAAGTAAAATTGCCGTCATGGAACCTGCCGCTAAAACCACTGCTTCTTCTAAATCTGACATCTTTCTTCATATAGTTTATATTCTATTAATTAATGAATGCAGTGCATATATGTTTTCTTCTTGTTATATATGAATTCTACTCTCAATTTAATAATATTTTTATTCTTTATTTGCTTAAATGCAAACGTCAAGTTTGGCAATGTTTTGTTTGTTGCTGATGAACTGTCAAAATGTAATATGTTGCTAAACATTTGCCCATCAGCTGTCAAAATTCAGAAGTTTGAAACATTTTTATTTATAAGTGTTAATGTTTTGCACTGTACTACGAGTATCTTTTGATGATCCTATTCGTACTACCGCCAGCAGCTTGGGATTTAAATATTATATATTATGAACTATGATATCCATTGAGAATAAAAATGAATGAATATGAATAATGATAATGAATTATGAATAATTGGATTATACTCCGCTAATACGAAACCATTAATAGTGGAATCAATCCAGATGATTTGCACATTCGGATAACGGAAAGTCATATATGGTTTTTTAACAACAGAAACTATAAGCCACAGCTCATTTAATTAATCCTAAAATTTAGAGACACATTGACATGGTAGATAATAAACTGTTTAAGCAAATTGCAAACAAAACGCATGGGCAAATAAAACATACATACTTCTATGCATTTAACCCATAAATGTGATCCTATTTTACTAGTATATCTAGAAGCCAAATTTATAACATGTAATCCGGATTACAGAGTCAGTGGTCGATCCATACTGTAAAGCAGAAAATGTATATTTTGAATTTTCTAATTTTGTTCGAATTACTATGTAGTCCAAATTACCAGAAATTTGAACTAGCGGAGATCTACTGTAATTACTACTGTAAAGGATTAAAACTAAGATTTTGGACTAATAATTACGAAATGTAAACACAGCAATAATAAGTTATCTACACACATATATGAATGAAATAGATCATTACTATCTATATTTATGTTTGGATATATGCGCTTGCTTGCCATTTTTCGAACTAATTTTTTATCATAATAGACGAAGTACTGTAGTTTTTGTAGTCTAATCCACTATTAAGATATATATTCAAATCATAATGAGCACGTAAAGGTGCATTCACACCAAAGTGAACGCTTGCGAATGAAGGAACATTCACAAATCAGTAAAGCAAACCTTTCATATAATGCTTATGTATGTTGTTAATTCTCAAGTTTTTATAAGAAAAATATTTTTTATTAAGCCCATCAAATTTAATATTTCGATAGAATTACATCGTGAAATGAGTTCTTTTATGCTCTTGAAATAATAATTTTTATTTAATTATTAAATAAAAAAGTTGCAAAAAAATGTGGAACGCTTCACGATTTTGCGTGTCATCCTTGCGCAGGGGCCATGCTAATCTTCTCTGTATCGTTCCAATTTTAGTATATGTTCTGCCGAAGCAAGAACAAATGTTCGTGCTTTAACCTTTTATTTAAATGAAAAATTTCACAAAATTACATATGAGAATTATAAATGCATTCATTTGTATCTATTTATAAATCAAATGACACATCCCAGCAATGAAAACAAATAAAGACATTTAATTGTGACCCAGCAGTAAAAAATTTTTTCTTAAAATAAATTTTTTTTTAATTTTTCATAAAAAATATATATATTTATTTAAAAGAAATCGTTACAATATAAATAATATATTAACAAATAGAAACATTAAGACGCTCACTACATTAATGAGCATTAATATGAGCACAATTATTGAACATTAATGAGGTCATTAATACACCATGACCACTTTGAACATAGTCATAGTTGAGTGATTTTTTCGAAATCCAAACTGATGCCTTGGAATTAAGTTTTTATTGTCAATAATAGGTAACTATCGCTTTTGAAGTAATTTTTCGAAAAGTTTTGCCAAAATGGAAAAAAAGGATATTGCCAAATATCCTTGTTTATTGCTAGAATTGGAAAATTGCAATAATTATATCAAAACCTGGTGATTTCTTTAAAATTAATTTTTGTATTTGATTTATCACTTCCTAATAGGAAGTCATAATAATCATTTCTCTTTATAACGAATCTATATTGAGAGTCGTTTCGTTGTGCTTTTCGTTTGCTGTAAATTTTCTTATAGATATTCATTAAATAGGTTTACTTTCTCTATGCTAGTCTTTATTCTATTTATTATTCTTAGTCTTGTTCGAAGACTATGGTTTACTGGACGATTTAAAGCTTCAGCTGCTCTCCACAAAGAGTTATTGGTGCTTTTGATTTAGTATTAGTTTTATCCGACATACCATACACATAGTCTGTTGCCGAAATCGTAAAAGTTTACGTTATTTCTTTATCAAGATCTTGATGTTTTAGAATATCGTTTTTTATACTCGGGAATGGGTATACTATTCAAAGGTGTGTAAAACGTAGAACTTTCTTATCAAGTTTTTCAATGGTTAATAAGTTTTCTTCAGTTGTAACTTGTTCATTTATTTTAGTTATAAAGTAGTGTCAGTGAATCTATTTACTAATCATGGGAAATTTTGTTTTTGGATGGAATAATATTAGGAATATTTTTAATAGCAAAAACGTCATTTAAGTTAATTTTAAAATAAAATTTTAATATATAATGTATTATTAAATTTTGTATATTTCAAATAACTTTAAAATAAAAAGAAAAATACATAAATAAAAAATATGGATATACATATATAATATGTATATTTAAGTATCTATTTAATTATATGTATATATGGAACCTAATGCATAAAATAACAGATATTTGAACTGGAATTATGTACTAAACCGAAAAAACCATAGTATTGCCGTAGCAAAAATCGGAACCCAAATAATATTTCTGTTATTTAGTTTCGTGTAGTTCGGTACCTGACTATTCACGAGATTTCTTATCAGCTGTAAAAACTTTAATGAGTGAATATTTTTTATGTATTTTTACTAAACATTAGCTTTTATCACGAATAAATGCATTTATTTAATGCATTGTTTTGAAAAGGCATACTTAATGAATATTTATTCAAATAAAATCCAAAATCTTACGTTTAAACATAATTATTGTTATTGAATTTTTAAAATTTATTTCCTCATTTTTCCTTAATTGTAGAGAGATGGGCATGAATAAATAGGTACCCGTGCTCTAACCGATATTTGTTTTTGAATCTTTTTCGGTTTTCTTTAGTCTAAAATATCGGATTTTTTTAGTTTATGGTTCAATTTCAGTACTTATTATTAAAAATACATTCATGTCACATAACAGTGGTTATATTTTTTTTACACCTTACAACAATAACTATATCATTGTCACAATTTGTCTGATTCTTTTTGATATTTTGGGTGTCAGCAATAGCGACAACTGCGATTTTTCTACATGTTTTTAATTTATTGAATTAGATTAGGTTTAGAGGGCACAAGCTAATATAACTGTCAGTAGTTCCACTTGAAGACATCTATTGACCATTATGATGCCCTCAAATTCATCTGGAAGAGGCGAGTTCCTCTAAGCGTTGTTAACTACTTATATTATCCTCGTTAAACCATTCTAGATAAAGGTAAGAAGAATCAATAAATCTATTTTCCTCACCTCTGACATGTTAGTAAGGAAACGGTCTCGAAGACATTTAAGTCGCTTCACCTGTATTCCCGGACAAACATATATAAAGTGATTAATGAATTTTATCACTTTTTCATAACGGCAACTGCTACACAATTCAGATATTCAGAATACGCCGTCGTTGAAGCATCGGTGCAATTTCGCAGGACCCTGCTATTACTCCAATAAGTACATGAACTGTTGGTTTGCTGAAACCTAAATGGGTTTCCGATATAGATTATATCGAGGCTAAATGTTGATTTGAGGCACCTATGCTCCTCCTAGGAGTTAAAGGTATTTATGTATATATAATCTAGGTCATTAGGTTCTGGCAACCACAAAGTCTAAAGACTAAGTCCAGTAGTCATTTGTCATTAAAATGGGGAATTCTTCTATGCTTCTAAAGAGGTTAATCAACGGGATTTGTATCAAAATTTCATCTAACAACCCCATTTGAACCCCATATAATGTTTACATGACTACGCTCTACCCAATTTGGCTATACTATTTTGTTAGCCCCATCACAGCTCATCACTTCTTCGCACACACACATATAAAATTATTCTAATACTATATATTGTATTTAATATTTTACGTTCCTGATATTGTCCAACTGATTGCTCGGTTGTCCAACTGTTTTTCAGTTGTTTGAAGATATTCGGTGCGGTTAAAACGATTGAAATCGGATCGTGCTGAAGGCGAATATTAAGAGTTTGTTTATGTTTGGCTTTCCAGACATCAAAAAGGAAATTTATTTTTAGCAGATTAATTCATGTGAGTAAAGAAAAAATTGTGCCCAATCGCATATGTTTTTCGAAATGAGTTCATATCTCCGATAAACAAACGCTATAGTAATGAGTATATCCTGCTGCACCACAAACAAATTATTTAAAAAAAAATTTTAATTTATTTTTGTTTTTTTTTTTCAAATTGTTTAAATATCCAATTTTTAATGTATATTTCGAAATGGTGAGCTCAGCTTAAATTTCTACTTGTGTTCTTAAAATGGTTCAAGTTCAACAAATTGCTTAGCATTTGCTTTAAAGTTAATTGAACTCAATTGAATGTTTGCAAATATGAAACAAATTAATTGTGTTGAAATCGTTTAAATGCAGTCGAGGTTATGGTTACACTTATAAACTTTTCACCGATATATGCAGTTGTGTGCGTCACAGTTTTATACAAAATTAAAATAAAAAAAAAACGTTTCTTAATAACTAAAACTTTATCATATAATAAATAAATATCAATGGGCGTCATGTTATGATTTCGTTAAAACTACAACAGACAACGGAGGAGTATTGGAAAAACTGATCACCAATTAAGTTAGCAATTAAAAGGTTTCATTATCAGACTTAGATTTATTTAAAGAATACTTCTATTTAAATAAAAAAATTTTTTTTTGATTAATTTATAAATTTCCTAATATTTTTTATCATTGAAGTTATTAATCGATCAGTATCGATTAACCATTGAAGTTAATCGACCAGTATCGGTCTTTATTTCTATTCAGTGTGAAAAGAATATTTAATATGAAATGAACCTTCGAAAAGCATAGCTCTGTAGTCCATTTTATTAAGAAGGACTACACCTGAACAACAAGAAAAAAATAACTGAAACCGGTTTTATAAATGAATTTTTTAGTTGTCTTTCTTTATTGGAATTTACTCTATTACCGACACCAAAAAACACAAAAGAGAATATTATATCTTATAAATATGGGACGGCTGTTGATGTCCGATGTAAACTTAAATTGACATTTTGTACTTTGCTGACATCTATCAAACTAATGGAAACCCACACTTTTTTTGGTTTAAAATAATTATCGATTATCTCAAGAGTTGAAGATAAATATTACATTTAACTTTAATTGCTCTGAATAATTAGAGAATAATTCTAATCTATAGAAACAGAACAAAGCTGGCTTTTAGGCTTTTAAGTAGATTATCTCAAAATTTTTTGTACTATAATAAAAAGAATAATTGTAATCAGGGAGGGTTAAAATCACTTCCAATAATATTAAAATATAATTCAATCCAATTACTTCATAAATCTTAAAAATATTATTTGTAAAAAATGTTATAAAGAAAGAAACCAACCATGTTGGGCCATACTCTACGCAAACCTATCAGCGGATGCCGCTCTAGAATAGAATCCGTAAGGAAGAAGAAATCACGATCGACCAAGAACTACATGTAGAAAAACAATCAACGGAGAATCGAGCAAATATTTCCGTAAAATATTTTGTGATTAGACTAAGTTCCTGCAATTTTATTTTTGGATATGTCAACAATAATAGTTATCCAATAACTTTATAGAGGTGTATCTATATTTTAAAAAAATTTAATTATATTGACTAACTCAAGAGATGAAAGAATAAATTTTTCATAACAATATTTTGTAGTTGTATTTAAAATAAGTCCAATTCCATGGCTATATACAGTATTAAAGTAATGTCTTTGAACCTTTGTGACATTGTGATAATTACACTACAAACATAAACAATTTCCGCTGATTTTTAAAAATCATTCGTATAATTTACAGAATTTTTTTATAATTTCTTGAAATGTGTTATAGAATACTCATGAAGAAAAAATTGTATTCTGTATTTTTGCTTCTACTTTAATTAGTTAAATGGTCATAAGTTATCAAAGCAAATACAGAGTGATAGAAAAAGGAATCTTGATCACAAATGACTTCTATTTATTGATATATTTTCCTATTAGTATATTTTGCTAAGCCACCGTTTCCATCACTCTTGATTAGAGTTACATTAGTCTTAATTGGTCTGTTGCACCATTATAACAGTTTTTAGTTAGACGTCGTATACACTTGATATATATGTCTGGAACTTTGCACCACATAGTTCAAACGGTATATAATAACGGTATTTCATATGTTTCTCTTTAGTTTCGACAGCTTGTTATATCTATATCTAATCTTTCTGAAAAGAATGTATAGGAGTTATATTTCATTCAATACAGATTATGCTGAACATTCACACCATGAATCGACATAATAGTATTAGCCATATATGTCTCTATATCACATCAGAGATCTTTTTTTAAATTGGTCCCTATCTCCCTTTAATATGTTTGAAATTTGTAACATTAGGCAGATTCATTTAAAGAGACTCTGCTAGACGTTTAACTACTTGTTAAATAACGATATAGACATTAATTACTTGTTAGATAACGATGTAAAATACGCTATAATGTTATAGTTTATAGTAGTTACAGGATAGTAGCAGTAGCAGTGAAAAACATAATAACATACTGTACTTTTAAAGAATGTACTATGTTTCTATTGCTGATCAGCCGTTGATTGCCATATTCAACCCTTAAAACTCGCATTTCCATTTATGACATCATAAATTTCTTTATTGCACTGTGAAATTTAAAGCCTAACAATGGGTAGTGTAGTGTACATGTTCTTCGCTTCCCTTGTCCTAAGAAAATAACGGAGCGAAATGTTGCAAAAATCTTAAAGATGCAAAAATAAATATTAAAGAAACCCAAAGATTATTAAACAATGGATTTCATTATGTGATTTATCTTCACATTGCATTCATATTTTATTATTTCTAATTTTCTTCGACATTATTTCTCCCATCTGTGGAACATATGTGAATAACATTGTTACTCTTTCACGGTTCAAAATGACCGACGCAATTTAATTATTAATTTTTTTTCTGAGTAAATAGTAATTAAATAATTTTAAGAAAATATGTCATGTTCTCAACATTTATGCCAAAAAATTGACAAAATTTTTTACTATTTCAATTTTTTTAGATTATACCTGACCTAAGGTCTTAAATTATCGCTTTGACTAACTCATACAACATTTACCGATTACATTTTCAAAATTATGTTTAGTGGTCTATACATATATATATATTTCCATAAGAATAATATTTGAATTGAATTCAGACTATTTTTTTATTCACAAATACAGAAAAGTTAATCCAGTTTCAGCGAACTACTTATCAACTAATCGCAAGCTTCCGCCAAGACTTCATATTTCTACATTCTCAAATATGAAATATTTTGTAGAAACCTTCAATGGAATATAAATGACCGAGATTTTAAAACATAAAACATTTTGTTTTTTTTTTTATTAGAACTTTTATCTTTTTTAAAAATTCTATATTAAATTTTTATGTACTTCTACTTATACATCCCAGTCAGCACATTCTACAGCTTCTGTTTTGTTTTTTCTGAATCTTTTTTCTCTTTCCAAAATCTGGACATTTGCATTCGCATTCTGTGTATGCATCACTGATCAATGGAGAATTTCGGTACTGAATATGTGTGCAGATTATTTACTCAGCCTCTTCCGCTGAGATTGAAATACTTACACATATACTGTAATGTATACAATATAATATGTATACGACTTTGTATATAGTCCATTTTTTATTATGAGTTTAGCATATGCACAATTGCAATTCTGTATATTCGTGGAATGTTATGCACTGCTAGAAACAAATACTTAGAACTACTAGTGAATTTATTCTTCACTACTAAACAGCATTTCGTATTTTTTTCTTAAACAAATTGTTATAATTACATTCTGGTTAATGTCTTCCTGAGGTTTTACTTTTTGTGGAACTCTTTGAATTTTTCTAGAATAATTAATTAAATCGAGTATCTAGTATTTTCAGGTCAGATCTATACAATATCTATATAAGTTTCATATGTCAATATTAACTAAAGAAACTGTCGATAAAATTATCAATGAAACAAAGTCGCCATAACGTCTATAGTTGGGCCTGCAGTGCGATTTCCCCATAAACACATATCTTTTGATTTACACATAATATCAATTTTCTTTCTTAGTTTTGCAAATACTTAAGATAATGGCACTTAAGCAGCTGCAACTCCATGAGTAACTGACCATCTATACTTTTTTTGCCGTCTATTTTGTTTTATTTTGATAAAACAAAGTTGCCATAACGTCTATAGTTGGACCTGCAGGGTGATTTCCCCATCAACAAATATCCTTTAATGAAACAAGGTGGGGCCTGCAGGGTGATTTCTCCATTAACAAATATCCTTTGATGGACACGTGATATTAATTTTCTTTCTTAGTTTTGCAAATACTTAAAGTAGTATCACTCAAACAGCTGCAACTCCATGAGTAACTGGCCATCTACACTATTTTTGCGAAATCTTGCCAAAGCTCAGCCAGTGTAAACGCAGTGTAATAATCAAAATGTTATTACATGTACTACTCATAACATGTACTATCTCAATTGGTGACGCCTTGTCTATAGTATTATATATAGTCTTGGATTTTAAAAGGTCAATTCATTCTACCAGCAATTAGAAAAAGTGTACTTACATACATGTTATCTCTGGCACATAATGTTTAATCCATAGTCCTAGTTATTATTTTTGGCTTATTTTTGCTTGGTGGATAGGTCAACAACAGGTTATTTCCAATTATACACCGAAAAGTCAGAATATTAACTCAAAAGAATTCAGTACAGTAAACTGTTCTGTAGACATAATTTAAAGAGTGGTATATTTTTACCTAATGATGTGGTCCAAATGACGTGGTCAATTTGAAAATTTAATTCAAATCTTAATCAAAAGAACGATTTATTTACGTTTGCTTTTGGAACCACATTATGTGTAACCCTATAGTTTTTATATATGCTGTTTGGGATATATGAAAAGTTCACTAAATAATAGTGATTGTCTGTTAATAATTTATAAAAAAACATTTGTTTCAGTGTGGTATTATTTAGAATTTAAGAACTTGTTTTAATTACAATCACATTTAGAACAGAATTATATATATATGTATGTTTAAACAAACATATCTACGAGCGCATCACTACAGTCAATTATATTACTCTCTGGATGTACTCGCATGTTAGGAAATAAGTGATTTAATTATCTATAAAAATTCTTGGAAGTAAGGGAGAGGAATAAAGCATGTCTTATCAAAATACTAATTCTGCAAACCCATAATTCAAATAATTAATAATTTTTTGTTTTTAATTTCAGTAAGCAACGTTATGAAGTGGACCTTGCTTCTTTTTTTTGGCCTTCTGGCTTTAACAACAAAAACTCTTGCAGAGGAAGATATTGATTTAGCCGATTTTGATCTGTCTGAAATAAATGACAGTGATGAGGAGCTTTTACGGGAAATTGAAGAGAAAAGTTTAGTAAGTAAAGAATGGATAAGTTTTATATGGTATTATATGAGAAAACAAGTTATGAGAAATGGATTGCTAACAGTTTAGATTATTAAAAGTGCTAAGCATTATATTTATTAATGATTCTTATTATTAAGGTCTACTAACATATATTTACATACTTTGCTTGAATTAATTTTTACACTTTTAAATCCTACTATGTAGGAATACCAGTACTATGTACTATGTACGGGTATTCCATCCCATTATTATCTATTATTTCTTCTATGTTCTGTATATGGGAACATAGATAAAGCATGGAAGAAGACAAAATGATCAGCATATATCAGAAAAAACAATTATTATAACGAAATCAAAACACGTATATATTTTTAAACAATATCTCATGTATAAAATTAAATATTTCAGAATAATGACATAAACCGTGAAAATGAAATTGCAAATAAAATAGCTGCCGACGCACTTGATGCCCAAAATAATGTATTAAATCCAGTTGTAGAAAGTAAGTAAATATAACTTTTGGAAATAATTAAAAAATTTATAATCAACTCTTTATAAATTGTATATAATATATATTACATTAATTTTACCTCTCTTTTGTTTGAAGCTGATAAGTATAAGGATATTTATGCTTAGTGCTCTATTGTGATACTGTTTTGTTTTTTGTTCTATTTTTATATTTAATTACACGTTTACGTGGTAAATTTAATACCAACTTATATTACAATAGGGGTATTCACGATTTCTCCTATAAAAATATTAAAAATTTTATTTATAAAGAATTTTTCACCTCCCATTTTTATTCCATATACGTCGTTTGTAACGGTATAATATATCTCATATTTCAGTTGATCCATGCGAAAAGATGCATTGTGGTGCTGGACGTGTATGTCAATTAAACGGTATTGTAGCTAAATGTGTCTGCATACCGGAATGTCCAGAAGAAACAGATGTACGTCGTCATGTGTGCACCGGTAAAAACGAAACTTGGCCATCTGATTGTGCTGTATACCAACAACGTTGTCTATGTGATACACATGAACCAGGTTGCAAAAATCCCGATAATGTCCATTTACACATTGATTACTATGGTGTATGTCATGAACAACAGGTATCCAAAATTAAATCATATTTGTGAATAATCACATATATACCATACTATACAATAAAATTTAAATCTTTAGGAATGCACAGAAGAAGATAAGAAAGATTTTCCACGTCGCATGCGTGATTGGCTCTTTAACGTTATGAGAGACTTAGCTGAACGTGATGAACTTACCGAACATTATATGCAAATGGAATTGGAAGCAGAAACGAATATGACACGCCGTTGGGCTAATGCTGCTGTTTGGAAATGGTGTGATTTAGACAGTAATACCGATCGTTCAATTTCACGTCACGAACTTTTCCCAATTCGTGCACCTCTAGTTAGCTTGGAACAGTGTATAGCACCATTCCTTGATTCTTGCGATTCAAACAATGATCATCGCATTACCTTAGTAGAATGGGGTGCCTGCTTGGAATTAGATGAAGTAATTACATATATATTACATATATCATGACTATTTCATATGTATACTAATACCTTATATTACAGGCTGATCTACACGCACGTTGTGATGATATACACAAAACTGTGCCACATTTGCTTGGTTAAGTCTCACTACTTAGAGGTGTAAACGGGATGTTATATATAAATCATATATTTGTCGTTAAAAATATATTTCAATAATGTGCCGCAAAAAATGTCAATGTAATTTAATAAATCTTAATGTAATTTTTTTTTTTACAAATATTTGCTTTAAACATATTGTACTAACTGTAATAAATCAAATAATGTACATATACATATATGTAGAAATATTATTCAAATAAAGTTGGAAATCATAATTCTACATATTTTAAATAATTCGTAATGACTATATAAAAAATAATTATTTCAATTTAATTTTATTATACAGACTTAACTAGAATTATTAGACTAGATAAAATAGCTTATATTAATTTACATTTCATATTTTATTTTATAGTATAAAGAAGTTAATTCTCGTCACTATCCAATGTTTCAGTAAAATAACAAAAATTTCTAAAACGAATCAAACAAATTAAAAATCTTACCAAAATCAAGCCAGTGTAGACGCTCGGGTAATTTTACAAAGTACATTTAACTATGCGTTTATACAAGCTTGCTTTTAAGCAAGATTTTTGCATAAACGCTTTTTCTCTCTCTCTTACACATATACCATAGACGCCGAGTAAGTAAGGTACTCTTAAGTGTCAATATGAGATTCTAAATTCCTATTTATATTTGAAATTTGTGGCACTGTAGCGTTAAGTCGCCACTTATATGTCAACCAGATGTCAACAAACTTTTTTAAACACTCTAGACTCAAGCAAGAAAATAATATCGAGAGGCTAATTAGTACAGATTATTAAATAATAGATATGTAAGCTAAACGTATAGTTTTTTAAGTGATCCTATAGAACTAGAACAGGTTCATCGAAAAAATTGTTAAGTTTCATTCACGATTCACAGATGTTTCCTAATCCAAACCAAATAGGTAAAAAAAATGTTAAACTTCGTCTCAATTAACTATATGGTTTCTTAGGTTCCTTATAAGTGAAATAAAATTATATATTTTAAAACTATTGAAATTCTTTATCCTTTAAATTCTATCTGCTACTTTTTATACTAAATACTATGTTTTTTTTAAGCACTTTAATTTGAATTTAAATTATTTTAAATGTTTTAAAATTAAGACCTAGTCAGACTCCTTTGTAACGAAACTTTTTCAGGACCTTGCAATTTTTTTTTAGTTTTTTCTATGTATATTTGAACTCTTCTATAGCAAATTCCTCTCTGTTACCAAATTTTTTAAGTAGGTTTTCATATTGAATAACTTTACTGTCCCAACTCTCCCAAATATTTGTCAATGAATTTGGAATAGCTGTTAGTAGCTACTGAACTATTATTAAAAATAAAATTCTATATCAAATAAGAATGACAATGTCAAGTATGACAGAGTTGTCCTCTTGTAAAATTAGGGACAGCGAATTGTATAGACTTGTCATCAATTTCGTCCACTGTGGTCTTTGAAATGGCGGCCTTCTCCGCAAAGCTCACTTGAGCGTATGAGCGACGTTATTTCTTGGTATCACAATGGGACGCCAAACTAAAGTTACTATCAAACAATTACACATCATAAACAATATGGTCTTAAAATTATACATTTATTGACGATGTCGTATATAAATGAATAACAAAACGGAGAATTTTCTATAGTTCTGGGCTGCTTGTAAAAGGGAAAGCAGAAGAATTTACGGAAACATTAAGTCGCATACACTTTATAGTAAATAATGTTTGATTAAAAAAATTTATAAAAGAGCATAATATCGGAAATTATGTTATAGTCAATACCGAAAACATTGATTGACGGTTAAGTATTTTCAATTCTTTTTTTTTAATATTAGTTATATAAATTAATACATAGTTACATGTCAAAATGCTATAAAAGCAAAAGAAATCATTTCTAACTCCTCTATAACAATAACTTCTTTACAATAAAGCGTTTTAACAGTAATATGACTTCGTTATAGATGAGTCCAACTATAAATACAAAATTAAAAAAATTTAATAGTTTTCAATATTACTAAATTTTTCAATTTTACCGCCAGGTACATGTTAACATCTTTTATTATTTTACACAAGATGTCGCAGCAACATTCTTGCATTTGCTTTTCCACACATTTCGTAAACAGATTTTGACAGTCCAACATAAACATTGATTTTCACTTCAAATACAAGTTCTTTAAGTTATATTCAAATAAAACCCTTTAATTATTCAAATTTAGAAGTTATAGATTAATTAGATGTTAAATTTTTAAAATACTAATCTAATAATAGAATATAGTGAGCAGCACATAGCTGTAATGTATATAACAGCAGCCTATGATTAAATATACTTCGATATATGACAATATCTAATGAACGAAATATTAATGACACTTTGCTTAAAAGCTGATAAGTGGTTGGATTGGTAATAAATTCTATAATCTTCATACAATAGTATTTTAGAATACCTACACTGCAAAATGAATGACCGAAATCGTACATATCGATTTCCATTACTCTTCTGCTTTATATTAAAGGTTTAAAAAGATGACGCAATCTGCTGCATTTAAAAAGAAATAACTATAAAAGAAATAAAATGATAAATGTTACTCAATATACGTAGTAAAAATAAAAGCATATTTATTTCGCAAGTTTAATCTAAACCATTTAAATTTATTTATATTATATATATATTTATAAGATCTCGAGACGAGATTTACAATTTATTAATTCATTTATATGTTAATAAAAATATAAAGATTTTTTTTTGTTAAACGTATTAAAAAAATTTATATAACAAACACAAAAATTATTAAATTATAGTCAGCTGTTTTGAAAATTACTGCTTAAGAGTACTGTTTGGAATATACAAACTTTCATGTTTATTTATGTTTATTGAAAATTTATTTTACGTTTACATTGTGTGTCATACAAATGTTGTTGATGCTGATTTTAATTGTTATAATGATAGATGAAATTAAATTTAAAATTAATAGGCTTGTGACAGCATTACAGTGTTTTTACGCTGGGGATCGGCAACGTTTTCCTCCTGTTAATCACAAAGAATAAATAGTCAATATCTATTGAAATTTTTAAGCAATTTATTAGGTTGAATTTACCTTCTTTCCAATCAACGATTTGTGGATATGTGGTATAACACCACCACCAGCAATTGTTGCTTTAATAAGGCTATCAAGTTCTTCATCACCACGAATTGCCAATTGCAAATGACGAGGTGTAATACGTTTTACCTTTAAATCCTTGGAAGCATTACCAGCCAACTCAAGCACCTAAAATAAAATAATAATTAATAAGTTTTAATTAATGAAATCCTAATATATTTTTAGAAATCAATCCTACTAACAACATATTAAAATAAAACAGTGAATCTCGGTAATATTTTCATTTTTAGGCTAATCCTATTTAACTTAAGATTTATGTAGTTCCGTATTCTAAGATTATGTATATGAGTTACAGCTCTTTTCTCAAAATATCTAAGTTAGAATCTGGAAATGTATACATTGATCACACAAACAATACACACATCATCTAACACCTACTGGTATGCAATTTTTTTTATTACTAACATAAACACTTATAACATTAAGTAGTAGTTCGTTTTTTATTTAATAATTTTCAACTTTAAATTCGATATCTAGATTTACTTATCTATATCGATATTTAGTGTATTGGAAAAATTTGAACATATTAGATTTTGCTCAAATTCATGATAAAAATTGGGGTACCCCATTTTACTTCACGGATAAATGTGTTTATAAAAACATCGATAACTCGGTGCAAATTATCGAAAAAGATCTCAAAAATTTATGTAAATGAAGTCTGTTCAAATATATATTCGTGAGGTACTGTATACGAAATTGAAAGCGAGTATATTTAATATAAACAAACTATTGCACACATAGTTAATATAACACATTTATATATTTTGAAAATAACTATTAACTAAATTAATTGTAAAAATTCTACAAGTTTGAATTTCCTTCTTTATAAAACAAATTATTAAAGATAGAATTTTATAATTACAAAACCAAATTATTAAAGATAGAATTTTATAATTATTATACAAATTATTACAGATAGAATTTTATAATTATAAAACAAATTATTAAAGTTAGAATTTTACAATTATAAAACAAAGTATTAATAATATTAAAATTTTATATACATTATTTATTTTTGATGGAGATTTAAAGTCAAAATTATAACGGAGAAACCGAAATATAAAACAAAATAAAATGCAGGATATATAGAGGAATTATACAAATATGTATACTTGTATAACGGCAGAGTAAATGAAAAAAACAAAAAATATTTGTCTAATATATATACATATATATCAATTGTAAACAATTATTTGTAAATAAAACAAAAAAAAAAACATTTGAATATATAAAAATTATATAATCGTGTGCATATAACACACATACAAATAAAGCTCTTATATAATATTGACTGCATTTTCATTTAACGCAGTGAAAATAAACAAAAAAAAAAAAAAAATTATTTAAGAAAAAATCACATTTATAATAGCTCACATTACCACAAGTGGTATGTGAAATACAGGGAAAAAAATGTTTTTTCTAAGCAAGAAAACATATTGTTGGATTAAAAAAAATGGCGGGCGAATGACGCTACAAATAAAAACGTTACACTGGAATTGTCAGTACGAAGCATAAAGTTTGCTTATGTACAGCACACACACATACAGTCTAACGAAACATAGCTGGCGAAGAATACAAAATTAAAGGGGATGAGAAAATTATAATTTTTGGCGGGCAACACTTTATCGTCACAATCTTACAAGAATTTCTAACATGTAATGAAATGTAATTTTTATATTGAGACTTACTTCAGCGGTTAAATATTCCAAAATGGCTGCGGAATATACTGCAGCAGTAGCACCAACGCGTCCATGTGAAGTTGTACGACTTTTTAAGTGGCGGTGTATACGTCCAACAGGGAACTAAAATACAAAAACATTTTCGTTATAGCTTATTGGCTACATCATACACAAGAAAAAAAAAAAAACAAAAAGCGCGCCAAAAAATTTTGAGTGCGCGTTTGGTTATGTTTATCTTACTTGTAAGCCGGCGCGAGCAGAACGAGATACTGCTTTAGCCTTTGCCTTGCCTGAATCTTTACCAGCTTTTCCTCCAGCCTTAAATATAATTAAAAATTATTAACGTAAAGCACAAACATTTAACTAACAGTTATTGTGAAAAAAAAATATCTTCCGATTCCGCGTAAACTTATAATAAATATTTATTCCCACATATTGTCTGTTTACAAAACCATCATTTTAATTATTTAATTATCACCAATTTCAATATTTGTTGGTTTTCATAAGAATTCTGAATTTCTTTGGTTTTGCGCACACGAACACACATACCGAAGCACGCTCGAACACGATTCACAATAACTGTTCTAATTTATTTTAACACAAAAACTTTCTACTGCTAATTACCATGATCAAATCAAATTTTTTTTAATATGGTTTCAATTACAAACAAATTTAAAATATTTCTTTATTCCACAATATTTAGGGATTTTAACGAATCGCCTACTTTCACGTCTGCACTCTTGAACGTATAGCTTGTAAATGATAGCAGCTCTGAAAATGAAATGAAGTATAAAGAAAATTTCACTTTTTATGTTTACATGGTTGCATTCGGTTATTAAAAGGGAAATTCATTAAAATCTATTATACAATTATATTACAAGGAAATATAGTTCGAAATATTTTATATAATATATATATCTGTTTTATACATTGCATGACGTTTTTATTTTAACTTTAAAAATGAATGAATTTGGTATGTCAAGTACTACTTTGGTTCGAAAAATATGTAAACTTGTAAATATATGTTAAGAATACTAAAATTGATTAATATACCCAATAATATAATTGTGATATAATTTAATAGAAATTCCTATTCAGAATTTAATAGAGTAATAAAAGATAATTTAAAAAATCGGCTGTAATAATTATTATCTTGAAGCTAATTTCCTGAATTGTTATATATTTAACTTTGTATACACACATGTAAACAGTTACGTCAGGTTAGATTATACCGGCGCTTCCTGGTGGATCCACTTAAGCCTATTGGCCCATTGTGTTACCGTATATAGAGGAAAAATTCAGGGTTTAAAACCACCTAGAACCTTTGGCGAAGCCTAAAATGCTATTTTGTATTAGGTCCTACATTTGGTCAAGATCCTCAAGAAAGGGAGATCCTAAAGTATTGAGTCGCTTTCGTTTATTAGTTGATAACAAATTGTACACAGAAAAACAAAAATATTTTGCAAAGCATTTTAAGCTCAGTCTATGTGTGTGCATACTTTTTAATTCATTTAATTCATTTAAAATACATAATCATGCAAACATGCGAATTCACATTGTATGCGAATTTTGTTTTCGAATTGGCACTTCTGATTCCTTGTTTTCAAAACAAAATGGATAATTTAGATGTAATGTATTTAGCGAAAAATCAGTTATTAAATTATTTAATAATTTTAAATTAAAATCATATGAAAAGGTCACCCACCTCTCAATTTCAACTTTCGATTTCCTCGAATGAATGAATTTTAAAACAAATATTTTGTCTTATTGAATGATCGCACGATGGAGACAACACATCGCGCACATAGTTTTCAGCAGATGTAACCAGTCGCATATGATTACTTATATTCCATTTGTTCGTATTAATGATTTTTTTTTTAAGCGTTTTATACAAAGTTTGTATTATGAACCTTAGTTGATAAAAGTTGATTGATTTAGTGTTTACATTATCGTTTCGGGTTTTCATTTTGAACATTGTTACATTTTTTAATATATTGATGAGCAATCAGTTGGAAACGTTATTATGGAAACAAGGGTTGTAAATAATATAAATAAATTTATAATGCCTCTACGAATAGAATAGTTCTGAAATTTAACAATTAAAAATAAAAAAAAAATATATAATTAATTAATTAATTCAATTATTCTACAGCTGGTTTATGATTTCGTTCTAATATATAAATACAGCAAGTAAAAATTGTTAATACAAAAAACTCCAGCAAAAAATATCGGAACAAAAAGTCAAGTACGGCTTTGGATCAGTTTGTTAAGGGTGCGCTGATTCTGAGCTTCACATTTGGCAGGACCCGAGTTAGATCCTGGTACTTGCAGTCTCAAAAAATAATTATTTACGAATAATTAAATACAAGAATATTTCCAAGACCACTGATGAAGGGTATTTGGCAATACTCGAAACAGCTGTATGGTCAGCCAAAAATTCAATTAATTAAATAATTTTAAAAAAAAAAAAAAAAAAAAAAAAAAAAAAAAAAAAAAAAAATTTGTTGTTGTTTCACTTCTGTTCGAAAACCTCTTTATATAAATAAATTTATAAATAATTGTTGAAAAATTTTATTACTTTAAAAAAAATGAAATAAGCTGAATAAAAATGTACACTATTTATAAAATTTTGAAAAGTCTTTCAATTGGTAATTGCAAATATTGACTATTTCAAGAAAATTTTTTTAGAAAAATTTAGAAACGATACCGATTCGCAAGTAAATACTCCTAATACAGAATTAATTAAGGCAATAAAAAACACAAAACTAGAATGATACAATTGTGTGAAACTTAAAGTCCAAGTCAAACTTCTAAATTTAGTAAATTTCAAGTATTATAAGAAATTTTAATTTCTTATAAATAAATAAATATCATTTCAATATTTCAACTCAAATATTAAATACCTTTGAAAAAGTTCAACAAATAAATCATTTTTTAAATGATTTCGTAAATAACAACACAGCCTCCACAGCAACATTACTAACTTGACACTACCAATATATTATTTTAAAAATCTGTCATTTCGCCATTTTTGTGCCAAAAACTTATCAATAACGCATTAAATTCAGCACTGTATTCAGAAAAAGATGTTAATTGAAGTCAATTTTCAGTCAAAGTTCGGAGTTTGTTGTGCCTACTTTTATATTGTAAAATCGACTTTGGTTGCTGGTTTTGCGTTCAAAGTCGATTTCTACTAACAAAGTTTATAATATGAACCCCTTATTATTTTTATTCTCTAGATTCAAACATTTGTCTTTGATATATATATCATTATATAAAAAAAAACAATCAATACTTAATGCTTGACACATGCAACACTTTAAAAATATAAGTTTTACCCAATATGCCAAAAAATTCTTTTTTATTTAAATTCATTATTAAATTAAATTTACTAAATTGAAGTGTATAAAACAATTTTGACGACAGCAATTAAAATTCGGAAATATGGTACCATAGAGTATTGCCTATCTGTTAGTTAGTTTTATATATATATATTTATTTAATATACTATATTGTATATAGATTTGAATAATAAATTTAGTGCTTAATTTCACTTTTAGACCAAACATTTTGAATTTAATATTAAATTATAAATTATATATACATAATTATTATTAATATTATTAATATTATTAATATATTATTAATATTATTATTAATATATCATATATGTATGTATGACAAATGTTACTAATTTACATCACTTCTGTATATATTACTCTTTTTAGAATACAAAGCAACACTTTTTTGTAAAAAATTTCCCAACGGTTAACAATTCTTCTAAGGGAAATTAAAATCAAGCGCGTATTAACGCGCCGGTATAAATTTTGTTATTATTAGACTGTATACATAAAAGTTTAAACATAAATATTTACGATCAATGCCGAGACCACAAAAGCAGAAAAAAGATGGAGGAGTTGCTGTTAAAAAACCAGCCGCTAAGCGGAACAAATTATATGCCATGCCAGAAAGTATTGCAGAAGGAACTGAGCTCACAGATTTAACAAAGACGAGATGGTGTATAGGAAAGTCGATTGGGACTGGCGGATTCGGTGAGATATACACCGCCGCTAAAGTTGGAGAAACAAACTATGACTACGTAATTAAATGTGTAAGTAGTGCTACAATTTTCTACTAAAATACAAGCTGAATGCGTGTTTTCTAGGAACCTCACGAAAATGGGCCCCTTTTCGTTGAAATGCACTTTTATATGCGCAATGCCAAGTTGGAAGATTTACAAAAATATAAGCGGACACATGGTTTAAAAAATTTAGGTATGCCTTACATGCTTGGAAATGGTTCAGAGGAATTGAATGGCATAAAACATCGATTTATTGTTATACCACGATATGGCAGTGATATAGAAAAACATATTAAAGCGAATGGAGGTCGATTGCCAGAAGGCACAATATATCGCATTGCTTTACAAATGCTTGATGTTTACGAATTTGTGCATACGTGTGGTTACATACATGCTGACTTAAAAGCCCCTAATATATTATTAGGATATGGTAAAAATGGAAATTCTCAAGCTTATTTGCTAGACTATGGTTTAGCATCTCGATTTACTACGAAAGAGTTTAAACCAGATCCAAAAAAAATGCATAATGGCACTATTGAATATACATCCCGTGATGCTCATCAAGGTGTTGCAACAATGCGTTCTGACTTAGAAATTTTAGGATATAATTTGATAGAATGGATGGGCGCTAAGTTGCCATGGGTGCAGGATAAACTGTTAGCTGCTCCAGCTAAGGTACAAAAATCTAAAGAAGATTTTTTTTTAAATTTGGATAAAAGTTTAAGTAAACTATTTCCTAAAGGAGTGTCAGGTAACACATATGAAATACTTTGAGTGCAATATATAAAATTTATTTTTAAAATAGTTCCCATTGCTGAATATATGAAAAATGTTTGCAAAATGGAGTATAATGATAGGCCGGATTATGACAAATTCCGTAAAATATTCTTGAATGGTCTGAAAACATTAAAAATTTCAAATCAAGGAGATTTGGAGTTTAACTTGAAAACTACCACGAGTAAGAATGAAAAGCAAACAGCAGGCAAATCACGCAAAAATAATCGGAAAGATGACTCAACAATATTAAATACAACTGATGATGTCGACTATGCTAGTGAAGACGACGATACTGATGTCATATTTGTGAAGAAAAAAAATCCAGTAAAAGTTGCACCAACTGCAAAAGAATTAAAAACTATAAATATAAAAAGTGGAAAAGAAGCACCAACAAACATATTGCCAAGAAAAAGAAATTTAACACCTTCTCCATCCAAACACAAAATATCACCAAAAAATGTAAATACCAACACAGCAAGAAGGTATTCTCCTAATAATAAGAGAACTATTATTTCAACACGAAACACACCAAACAGCAGTTTTAGTGATTCCCCTATAAGTGTGCCTTCACGTACACCGACTCCAAGAAAACCAATACACCACATTCCAACTGCTGGTACAAGTAATGGTCAAAGCAGTTCTTTACGTCCTAAAGGGTCAACACCGATATCAGCGCGCGCTAATATTAATTTAAGTCCTGCAATTTCAATGACACGTTCATCTGCTCGTCCCGGTAAAACAATAATTAATGATAATTTAACGCCCAATATAAAAAGCAGTAAAACATATGAATTTAATTTTGAACTTGATGTTAGTGTTGATGCTAATGTTGTAGTTAATGTCAAACGCAAGAAAAAAGGTATTAAAACCGAATCCACAAGCACACCAAGGACGAACAGTGACCCTTTGAAGGCATCTGAGGGGTCTGATTCTCCAGCAACTCGTGTTAAAATACGTAAACTAGCTGACGATGGTGGCAGTCCTCGGACGCCAGTTGTAATGTTGAAAAAATCGAAGCGCGTTGTTTCGCCTCGTTAGGCATTTATTTATTGAATTTCCGAAATATATGACCATTTAGGCTTAAATAAGATAGAAAGCATTATAATGATCACATTTGCGTGCGAAATTACTATTTGTTTTCAGTGTTATATTTAATAATTTTTTTACTTGTTATTAATAAATTTATTGAAGTTTGTATAAAGAATTGGAAGTTTAGAAATGGCTTTCGATCTTATTTTTTATATTCTATCCTTAATTATTGGTATTAATAAAGTACTTACGAAATAAGTCTAAAGCTTTTTTTATTTATGCATTTGTACAAAAATTATAAGTATTCTAAATGAAGTATTTATAATACGAGGCTCAGTGAAAAATATCGGTGGCATTAGGCAAACTAACAATTGTCTTCATTCTTACATTGCTACACATATGTACACCGCAAATATTTGCTGTAAGGTTGTTTCAATTACATTATTTACTAGATTTACGCTTGCTGCTCTCGTGATGTTTAGATTTTGATTTGCTTGAGGAAGAATGTGAAGACTTTTTAGAAGATGAGGAACGCTTTTCGTCTGCACTTATTACATTTAAAGTTGGCGTAATAACACTCTTCGAGCCATTTGTAGATGACGAACTCTTATGATGATGTTTACTGCTTGTTGATGAAGAGGTTTGTTCTTGTTTATAAAAGGGCGACGACGAATTAGACGATGAAGAGGATCGAGATGACGTAGATTTAATTTTTGCAACCAATGGTATTGGATCTTCGGGTATAACTACAAAACCTGCTGCTTTTGATGTTGTTGGCTTACTGCAATTATTGCATTGCCATATTGATTCTTCTGATGCCTCTTCATCACTGATTGGCGGCTTATGGCATTCTTGATGGTAGAGCGCACCACACATTGAACATTCGCATAAGCGATTTGTGGCGGTAAACATCATTTCGCCACAAACGCAACAGTTTAAATCACCAAACTCTTTTAAATTACCATCATCTTCAGTGCTTGTTAAGAGTGCACTACCAACTAGGCCACCACCATCTTCAGAATCAATAATTGTATCCGGTGAATCTGAAATAGTTTTTGTTGGCGAATTAATTAAATTAATAACTTCAGTTTCTTCGGTAGGCTCTGTTGGTAATTGTAATTGTGGAGGTGGCGTAACTGCACGTCCTGGAAAATTGATCTCATCATCTAATTGCTTCTTGGTTAAAGTGTTACAAATCATTTTTTCTGTTCCATACTGCTGTCGAATTAGTTCATCAATCATCTCTCGTAATTCTGTTGCCGAATTTGGATGACTGGAATACAATAGTTTAACACCTCTCTTATAAATTTGTTCAACATCTTCTGTGACTGACATTTTTAAGAAATATACAAACAAATCCAAATTGATATTAGAATACGTTGTTAATAAAATCAAATGTTACCACGGGAGCTGCCAAAATATAAAACACAATTATTTATTTTATGTCAGGATTATATATTTAATTTAAATAACTTACTTTATTTGCAACACAAAATGTAATTGCTTAATTAAATGGTTTTTATTACCTTTACAATTTCATTCACAAAATGAGCCTTAAATTGACAGTTCTGAGCTGATATGAGATCTCATCTGGTGCGCTTGTTGTCACAATTACAATTATAAGCGTGCTTTCAATTATGTTTGACGTCATATGATATATACCTCATATTGTCCAGTTAAGTACAATAGTCTAAACATAAGGGGTATTCACTCTCTCTTGCAAACTCATTGCAAGGTGCACGAAATGCACAGATTGTACGAGAATGCAAATAACAACAACAAAATACACGCACAAAATTTCGTGCAATTGCGTGCAATCTTCCAATGCTGAAACCTATGTATATTTGCTTGCAACAAACCAGAAATGGCGGAAATCAGCTGTTTTGTCATTTGTTGCTTCTCATTTTTAAATTTGAATTGACTGTTAGTAAAATTTCGAGATATGTTAATCTATGGCTATGCTATATACATGCGTTTCGTTCAATAATTTAAATCGATGTGACCATTAATTAAGTTTTCACAAATATACTATTATATACATATACATTTGTGAATTAATTTATCTATTTATCAATTTCAGCGAAACTTACGAAAATTTGTTCACATTTTGAACTATTGAATGAAGTGTTTGGACGCATGTCTAATTTTGTACGGAAACATTGCCATAGCCACCAACTAGTTCTGCGCTAGGCAACGAAGTTTTTTTTATTGAATCGTCTGCAGACAACACATCATCCAGCTCTGCACCGAAAGTCGTGCGTTCTGCTGTGCAAAACCCCACTACCCCCCTCGATAAAAAATATAACAAATAACAATAATAAATTAAGAATTAGTTATATTTTTATTATACTAATTATTTTTATATTATATTATTATTACATATATCTCCAACAACAAATAATGTAGCGACTTTACGAATAGCCGCATTTTCGCCTGATGAACCCAAACGATATAAAACAATAGCAATCCTTAATAGTTTATTAGTGAGACTATTAAGGAAAATACGTTCCAATTTACTCTAAGCATCTGATAAAAACGGCCTTCATCAAATTCTTGAAGAATGGTAGATCTCCATTGAATAGATTTTGGTACGGGTTGGTGATTTCTGTGATGGTTTACTAAAGTAAACAAAAGGTCTTCATTTAATTGCTCCATCACTTCCCAGTAATTTGCATCATCTAACAAATAGAAACTATATAGTAGTGAAAACTACATTAACAACATGTTAATACCTTCAATCAGAATATTAAAAGCACTATTTTCAATTAAAAAATCTATACATTTTTGTATTTCACTTGTTCGCGGCATTGTTATACTATTATTTTTCTTTGCTCAATGTGAATCGACTGCAAAAACAGCTGATTCATTTTGATGATACAATTCTGCAACAGAGGTGTTCTCGCAGTCTTGCAGTTTTTGCATAGCATTCTTGCATTTCGTGCTCCCTGCAATGAGTTTACAAGAGAGAGTGAATACCCCTTATGTATATTTGCTTGCAACAAACCAGAAATGGCGGAAATCAGCTGTTTTGTCATTTGTTGCTTCTCATTTTTAAATTTGAATGACTGTTAGTAAAATTTCGAGATATGTTAATCTATGGCTATGCTATATACATGCGTTTCGTTCAATAATTTAAATCGATGTGACCATTAATTAAGTTTTCACAAATATAATATTATATAAATATACATTTGTGAATTAATTTATCTATTTATCAATTTCAGCAAAACTTACGAAAATTTGTTCACATTTTGAACTATTGAATGAAGTGTTTGGACGCATGTCTAATTTTGTACGGAAACATTGCCATAGCCACCAACTAGTTCTGCGCTAGGCAACGAAGTTTTTTTTATTGAATCGTCTGCAGACAACACATCATCCAGCTCTGCACCGAAAGTCGTGCGTTCTGCTGTGCAAAGCCCCACTACGCCCCTCGATAAAAAATATAACAAATAACGATAATAAATTAAGAATTAGTTATATTTTTATTATAACAATTATTTTTATATTATATTATTATTACATATATCTCCAACAACAAATAATGTAGCGACTTTACGAATAGCCGCATTTTCGCTTGATGAACCCAAACGATATAAAACAATAGCAATCCTTAATAGTTTATTAGTGAGACTATTAAGGAAAATACGTTCCAATTTACTCTAAGCATCTGACAAAAACGGCCTTCATCAAATTCTTGAAGAATGGTAGATCTCCATTGAATAGATTTTGGTACGGGTTGGTGATTTCTGTGATGGTTTACAAACAAAAGGTCTTCATTTAATTGCTCCATCACTTCCCAGTAATTTGCATCATCTAACAAATAGAAACTATATAGTAGTGAAAACTACATTAACAACATGTTAATACCTTCAATCAGAATATTAAAAGCACTATTTTCAATAAAAAAATCTATACATTTTTGTATTTCACTTGTTCGCGGCATTGTTATACTTTTATTTTTCTTTGCTCAATTTGACACGGCTGCAAAAACAGCTGATTCATTTTGATGATGCAATTCTGCAACAGAGGTGTTCTCGCAGTCTTGCAGTTTTTGTATAGCATTCTTGCATTTCGTGCTCCTTGCAATGAGTTTACAAGAGAGAGTGAATACCCCTATAGTATAACAACAATAAGTCCTTGCACAGAGTCTACTCTTTTTCACTACTTTTTAACTAGCAATAACAAACTCTCTTCCTTCCCTCACTTGTACTCATTTTGTCTTGGATATATTTGTTGTTTAAATGCGAAACGTTCTGCTTTTTAATTTCTTCTTCACCATTGATCACAGGAATAGAGTGCACGTAAATTTGAATATTTTGATTGT